TAAATCCAAAATGTATATCAATATATTATAAAATTAATAAATAGGTCAAATAAACTCATGTAACGAGGGTATTAATATATTTTCAAATTAATTATGTAAATAGGTCAAATAAACTCGTATAACAAGGTTATAAATATATTTTCAAATTAGTTAAATAAAAATAACTCAAAGAAACTCAATAAAAATAACCCAAATAAACTCAATAAAAATAACTCAAATAAACTCAATAAAAATAACGCAAAAAAACTTATAAAAAAAGCATCAATTGCAAAGGAAGAATTTTTTTTTTTTTAAATATTCAATTTCCATGATGATTATTTTAATTGAATGTCTAAAGTTAACGGGTTTGTATTGCACGAAGATAAGTAGATTTATTCTGTTTATCGCCAGTTTAGAATAATTACTGCTCTACGTTTCTTTTTTTTTCTTCTCGATATTATAAATGTTTTTTTTACAGGTAATGTAGTAACAATTGGTGTAATTTAAGTTAATAGATAATAAAAAATTAATAAAGAAGATTAAAACCACCATCGATTGCCTTGCAAAAGAAAATATGTCAAATATCAAAGCACAAAACAGCAATAAACTTATAAAAATAAACAACACTCAGAAAGATCGAATATGGATCAAGACAAAAAGAACAGATTATTTAGTTCTTAGGAATTAAAAATGTGAAAACAGAAAACTGAAAAATAAAACAGCCAAAAGAGAAAATAAAAAACATCTAAAAATAGTAGTAAAACTTCTGAATTTCAAAAATAAGATTGCATTTCTCAAGAACTCCTTCAAGTTAAATAATAAAAACAATTTCATATAGCAAGACTATTATATGGAAACTGATACGAAAGGCATACATAAACTAATGAAAATCGAAAATAAATATGTTGTTTTCTTAAAACCGTTTGATGAACATATTTACGTCACTTTCATATTTCAAATAATTTATCATGGCTTTAATAAGCCATGATGAGATGATGAGTGGAAGCCAAGACAAGTTTGACGAGTTTGTATTGGCGTGGAGCAGTAGTTAGAGCACTTGCTTTATGAGCAAAAGATCCAGGGTTCAAGACGATTAGGTCTTCTTCGGGCACCGAAAAAACAAAACAAAAAAAAAAAAAATTAAAAAAAAATGATTTTGAAATTCTTGCTTTTTTGATAAAAAGTAAGAGTTTCAAAATCACTTTTTTTTTAAGACAATTATTTTACAAATGATTTTATTACAAAAAATGATTTTATTATATATTTATTTATAATATCCACGCAAATTAGAATGGTTTTTATAAACAATGTTTGAAGTAAAAGATTTGGTCATATCAAAATATTTAAAGTTATATTAGAATCGTAATTTGTAATTATGAAAAACTTTAAAATTTACTTGGAACATCAAAAAACATGATGCTCCGAGTAAATTTTTGAGCATAATCAACATCGAGCCACAAAATACATTTCTACCATAAAGCGTCTGCCTTACACTCAGCGACTATCAAGACTAAACCTAATAACGCTAACCAAACGACTAGCATGAAGAGATCTTAGTGAACAAAAAAAAAATTAACAGCAAAATTGAGATATTTAACTTCACGGTCATTAACTTTTTGTCTTTAAAGAACAGTTTTCGAGTTTGCAGACACACTTAACAACTCAAAGTACAACTTGTCTAAAACTTCGCTTTTCAAAAAACAACTTCCTCACTTACCGTCTGGTCAAACCATGGAGCGCTGTGACCCAAAACGCGGTGAATTCAACAAATCTAAATAACCTCTAACATAAAATATTTGTATTACAACACCTTAACTATAATTTAAAAGCTAAAGACTGCATTTTCATCACAGAAAGGCTTAGCGTGCCGCTCTTTATCATTATATTAAGTTTTGCATTTTCGAATGACAGATGATTAGAAAAATTTAAAAAAGATATCGTGAGCTACTATCTATTGTAAGCGTTATAAGAACCAATGCCGACCAACTCGTCGTAAATATGTGAAATATCTGAGTTAGTCTTACTTGAGTTCCGTGGTTCAAACCCCACCTCTGGGCAATGTATGAGTAAGTAATTCAACTGAAATTGTTGAATTACTTACTTATACCAGCAATTGGTTTCAACCTTGTCCAGCAGTATTTAAGCCATTTAAAGTTGTTTAGAAAAAGCAGCCAGGGTTATGATTTTTAATAATCCAGGAGTTTTAAAAAATAAGGCCAATTTTACAGGACTTTTAAACAAGTATGACAAGATTCAATCTGGCTTTTAATCATGTAGAACCTTTCCGTATAATCTTTCAGTTAATTTGTCTGAAGCTTACTTGCCAAAATATGTATATTCTGCAGACAAGTTAGTAACTAATCCAGACTTCTTTAACCAAATAAAAGCAAATGAGGCATATTATTTTTAATATTTTATATTATTTTTTTGCTTACGGTTTTATCACAAAGCACCGCGGTATTAAACCAGGAACTTCGCAACTATTTACTTACCAATAATGCTTATATAACCAGAGCCGGCTTCGAACCACGGGCATCAAGTTCTGAAGCCAGAACTCCAACCACTACACCACGGCTGTTGTATAAATAATCATAAATATATAGATAACACGATCAAAAAAAAGTTTTTCATGATTTTAAATCTTTCTTTCTTCTCATGGGTTATTTAAAATGAACAAAGTTTTCACTATTTTTTTAAAAGTTTTTCATCTTTTTTATTCGCTGTTTCTATTGGTTTAAGGATTAGCATTGGGGAAGCTTTCTGAGAACACTTTAGACTCGGCGTGCGGTTTATGTTAGTTAACTTTTTTAAACTGTCACGTTGTACTTTTTTCTTTTTATGACTATTTTGTTCATACCACTCTGTATTTTTTATTTTTATTGTCACTGTATTTTTATTTGTACCTTTTTTTTTTAATATCATTTTGTTTAGTAATTTATAAAATAGTTAATTATTAAAATAAAAATAAAATAAAATTTTAATTATTAAAATAGTAAAGTAATTTTTTTAAAAATTTTTATTACTAACGTAATAGCTAATGATAGCATAACTTACTGGGTAATGATAGCATTACCTTGTACGTTTTGTGACACCTTAATAGTTACTTTAGACTATGCAGATTGATCATCATGCAATTTGTTTTGCCTTTTAAACACCGTCGGAGTCAGTTTTTGTAAATATTTTATCCATAAGATAGAAACTATGATATTTTGTTTTATGGAGATACAATTTTGGAAATAGCAAAAAGAGTAAAATAAAAGAAACATTAGACACAAATTAGAAAATGCAAGAAAAAGCTTAAAATTAAAAGGAAAAAGAAGTACCTAAATTAAAAAAAATTAGTAAACAAAAATAACCGCATAAAATATTTTGCTGTAAAATTTTATTAAAAAACAATGTAACTTGATTACATTGTTATGAATGGTTTTTTATTTACTTTATATATTAGTTAATTTTTTTAGACTTTACATCACTATTTTATAAATGTGAACATTATATTTTATGTCAACCATTTAAGACAGTAGTATTGATTATTATATTGGCATTAGTTATCAATATTGAAACATGTTAAAAATTACTTTAGGGGCCATCCATAAAGGACGTCATCCAAATAGGTGGGGGGAGGGGGAGGGAGAAAGGAAGGTCGAGTTAAAAAGGACAAGGGGAGGGGGGGTGGAGGTTGTCAGAAAAGGACGTCACTTTAAAGATTTTTTTATTTTAGTTTAATTAACATGGAAAACTACGTAAACATGTATTTTTGAGAAGATAATGTATGAGAATATTTTTAATTTTATTTTTCAAAGGTGTAGCAGCAGATTCAAACATCATTGCAAGATAAAATAAATTTTTTGGAGTTAAAAATAGGGAGGGGGGGGGGGTCAGGATTTTATAACGTCCTTTTCAAGGGGGTATAGACAACCGGTGACAAAGGGAGAGAGGGGGGGGGGTCAGAAATTGGCTAAAAAGTGGTGACGTCCTTTATGGATGGTCCCTTACTATCAAAAATGTTTTACTATTAAGAATGTTGAACTTAGTTGCCAATTTTAGGTATATCATTTATCACCATCATGTATAAATTTTTTTGATCTCAACTATAGCCAAGGCGGTACAAGACATATCCTGAATTTTCTTTACAAGTTACGGAATCCACTGCATGCGAGTTTTTTTTGATGAATGTTATGTATTAGTAAAATCGTTTGCTTGTGATATTTAAAACTTGTTATAAAACGTTAAAAAAAAATCTATTTCTGTTATAACAAACTAGTTGATTGACAATTAAACGATAAGTAAAATACTTTTTATTTCATCGTGAACCAACTAACTTGTAGGGTTAAACAAAATTATTACTTAAATTCTTAGTTATTCGCCTATTATTTAAATATTTTAAAAATGCAAACTCAAAATTATTGGTAAAGGACTTGATTTCATATTGGCTAAAATTAAGTTCGTTTTACACACGCCTGGCTGAAATTTGGTCATAGTGGCTGTAACGCTTTTTATCTGTTTGCCCAAACAATTTTTATTCATAAAAAATTACCTTTGTCCTCAATGCTGAAAACTTTATTTTTTAGCAGCGTATGATTTTCATATAGGACAATTTGTTAATATGCTTTTAAAGACAAAATTATAAAAATACGACAGGAATTTGGTCACTTTACCCTAATTAAGCGTAAATACACAGACTAAATATTATGCAGACCAAAATTTTAACGTTTAAAGTTTTACAAAGAAAATATTTTTAATAGACAAGCACAAAGAACATTTAATTTTAAAACACATTTGATATTTGTATTCAACTAAAATTTTTTATCGCATTTAAAAGTTTGTAAAATATGAACTTTTAGTTTATTTAGAAAATTAGATTGATTTTAACACCAATTTTTATTAGATTTTTATTCTATGACTTAAATACTTTCTAGGTTATCATAGTCATTCGTGTGTTTTCCGTGGTCACTCTACCACAACAAATATCTTGACACGAAAAAAGTTGTGTTGGGCATTTAGTATAAAACAAGACTTACTATAGATAAATACTTCGTTTCTTTTGTCATTTACACATAGCACATATGTACAAATCTTATTTATTGATACTGAAACTTATTAAACACAGAGAAAAGTTGATCACCATCGAATAAGAAAAAATATTTACAAACTAATAGGTCATCCATTATCACCAACTTCTGTCGAAATTTTCATTTTCTTATAAGGTGAAACGTGATACTGAAAAACAACAATTAAATATATTAAACAATTTAACCCACTTTTATTTCCAACAAATAAATAAATATACATAAACTTTAAGATACCTTTTCCCAACGCTCAAGTAGTTTTTTAAACTCAGCTTCAAAGAAAAAGAATACGTCATCGCAATCCTAAATTGAATATCAGTTTTCGATTTGTTATAGGAGTACAAATCACTGCAGCATATGAAAATTAGTATTTATTATAATAAAGTACATTAGTATTTATTAGTATAATTCAAAAACTTACTTTTCTTGCGGCATGATCAGCAGGATTGTACGCGTAACAGTTTGCTTTAATTAACATCATGTCCTCATAAAACATTGTGTAGTTTGAATATTCTCCATCCTTAATTATAAACAACTTTTTATAAATTTTATGTACTAATATTATAAAGAAAAACAAACTTTAACCTAACCGAAAACAATTTTTTAACCAAACTGAAAACAATTTTCAATTAAAATAAAAAGTCACTTGCAATCATACAAAAAATATGTAAAAACATATATATATATATACAAATTTTTTGTTATGTAAAATTTAATAGAAAGTAGTATTTACATATAAAAAGATGACCTCTCTATTTTTCCTTTGAATTATCTATATATTTTATAAAGAAAATATGAAATATAGATAAGAGGAAACCTCTTAAAGAAAGAAAAAACCTTTATTTATTTTATTATTCATTTTCACCTAGCCTGAAGTTACTAGCATAAAGAAAATTTTTGCTAAAAATTTAAAAATGAATATCTGACGAAGAGAATATATATATAAATTAATCTCAGTGCCCATAATTTCATAAATAAACAGCTCTCCTGTTCTGTTTCAAACCATCGATCCTAACACCACAACATTGCCGTCACTTAATTTTTCTGTTTCTTGAATGCAGTTTCTGTTCCTGGAATCTAAATGCTTTACTTTTCTTTTTCCATACCTCTTGATTTCAATTAGACTCCACAAGATTAAATTCACTTCTATTTAATTATTGATTAAACTTCTTAAAACTTTTTTTTCAAAATAAGAAAGACATATTTACATACTTCTTAACAAATGCAAATCTTCAGTCACGTTGGGTTTTTGAAAAGAATGGTTTCTTTAATGGGAATCTTGCTTAAAATACATTCTCTTTCTATCATTTTCAAATCATAAACTGGCTCATTTAAGTTCCTAATTCTTTTTTAAGAAGACTATACGCTTTTGGTGCTATTTTTTGCACCGCCTTGACAAATTGTTGATGAATTATACACCTTTTCAAGATGTAATTAAGAACATGAAAGTTGTAATCAAGAAATCGCAATATGTAATTGAAAAACAAAAACAAAAAAAGAAGTAAATAAGAAATCGTAATATGTAATTAAGAATACATAAATTGTAATTAACAAATCGTAATATGTAAACGAGAATACATAATTAGTAATTGCGAATTTACAATGTAAGCTTAGGTCATTATAATAGGTCAAGGTAATGGGTTATTATAAAAGGTCAAGGTATAAAGGTAAGCTTATAGGTCATTATAAAAATATCAAACTAATCATTTGTATGAACCAGCAATAACAATGGAATTGAAAGATCGTTGTGTTATTTGTCAATACACTATGAAAGTGTTTGATCAATACACTATGATTTGTCAATACACTATAAAAGCAGCAGACTTTAATTGAATCTGGGTCAGCATTTATTTCACTAAATTAGCTTACATCGGAACCAACTTGCCCAATTTGTTGGCATGAAATACATACAACCTAATAAGTTGAAAAAAAAAACATTTCGTTTTATTTTCACCGAGTGACAGAAGAAGATTTGCTAAATGTGTTGAGCAAAATGACGATTGGATGACTCTGGCGTAAAATTTAGGGGTCAAATATAAATTGACTTTCAACTGGGTTCGCAGCGGAAAGTCAAACTTCATTGTAAGAGGTGATTTTAAACCAAAAAACTGACTGAGAAACAAAACAAAAACATTATGAAAATTTATCAAAACAAGAATAACAAGACAATTTAATATTAGCGTTAGCACAACTTTTAAAAATGAAAACAATCGAAGGCAGATTGTTTTCATTAAAAACAGCTTAATACATTATGAACAGCAACGAACGAATCACAAATGGTCACACAATTTTTAACCTTCTTTGTAAAAAAACACAAGGACGAGCCAAACAGGAAAGAAGAGCAATAATGAAAATGCCTGCTTTAAAAGATGCAAACATAAATTTGATGGCAGCTATATCAACAAATGTCGTCATGATGGAAACTTGAAGAGGATCAATTAATGCAGATTCTTGTAATGAGTAGATGTTGGTTACGTTTTACCGGAGGGTTACATCTGAGAATCTTTTAGAGGATTTAGTCATCGTAACAGACAATGCTTATTTAAAAAAGGTGTTTAAAAACTCTCCAGCACTAATCTTACAAGATTTAGGACCCTACAGTCCAATGCTAAACCTGGTGTAAACAATCTGATCTAAAATTAAAAGTAACCTTAAAAATCGATTTGCATTTCATTTGTATTCGATGCTGTAATTGTGAAACAAAAAATGCATTATTTGGAAAGAATTGGTACAGCAGCAAAAAATACAATAATAGGAAGTGATTGCGCACGTGCTACTAAACATATTAAGAAGCATTACAAAACATACTAAAAAGCAACACATACTAAACATACTAAGAAGCAACACAACAATTTTAAATTGTCATTAAATTTCTTCTTAAATCAACATTTTTTAGAAATGATTTTGGTGAATTACTATTATTTCAACAGAGTTAAATTCGTGATTAAACTTGCTTTCAAAAAAATCATGAAGGCATTAAATATAACTTTTTCTGTTATAACCAGACAAAGTTTATTGCTATAGTATTATTTAGTCTGCGATTTCCGCCAAAGAATCTACAATTTTATAATGAAGAAAGTACTATTTATTTACAAATGATTTTGATAGATTACTATTATTCAAACATAATTAAAATAGTGATTAAATTTGCTATTAAAAAAAAAAAAAAAAAGTTTAAAACACTTTTTTTTTCTGTTATAATCAGAAAAAGTTTGACAATGCTTTTTTTTCACAATAAACACAAATTTTTGTTTGAGTATTTATTTAAAGAACATTAATTACATCTATTATAATTATTATTAATATACTATATCTAATCATCTAATCTTTAATTTAATATCTAATCTTTACATCTATTATTATTTAATATAATTTTTACTATTATTTTTATTGATCTGTAAGTATTAAAGTTTAAATGTAATTAAAAGTAATTCATTTATTTCATTGACAGTTCATTGTTTGTTTCATTAACAGTTCATTGTTTGTTTCATTGACAGTTCATTGTTTGTTTCATTGACAGTTCATTGATGTCATTGACATCAACAAAAATGATATATACTTTTATATATAGAGAGTTATTTAATAAAGTAAAACCGAATCAAACTAATCACCAAACAATACAAATCGAATACAAAAAAACTGATTTATTTAAAAAAATTTTTTTTACTATTTTAAAAAAAAAAAAATTAAAACACATTGTTTATTGAAAAAAGCTTTTTTTTTCAACTGCATTTGAAAATATAAATACCAAAAGTAAAAAAAAAAAAAAATCGCTTTTGGCAAAAATTCTGTTAAAATTGATCAATATAAGACACATTTAAAGTTAAAAATTTTATAAATCTATATTAAATATTTATCTATATTTTTTAAATAACATACAGAAATAATAAAAGATTCATGTTTTATATTTTTCCACGACAAAAAAATTCGGAACCCATAGGAAAGTTTCTACACTTGCATTTAATAGCTTTTCTTTATTTGGCTGAAGGTCATATAACCAGTTCTTTATTTTAATTTCTTTTTTTACAGGATTTAGCTAAGGCATTACAAGTTTGCATGTGGTTTTACATTTTTTAGCTTATTTGATTTACAAATTTTTTTATTTTGCGATGATCTACAATATCGTGTTTTGTAATACATCGGTCTTCAATTTTTTTACACAAGACTAATTTTTCTCTTCAAAAAAACTCCTTATATCATATTTTATTTCATTTTTCATTCTCTCATTTAGTTTTCATTCTATATTCTTCACTTATTGAACCTCGAAACTGCTGTAGCTGGTTCAGAGAATGCTTAAGACTTTATTGTTGGCAATGGCATTAAACATTTGCAAACGTGTAAAACACTCACTACTCTAGAAAACCTGTTTAGCAACTATGGAGGAAAATTTTCTTCATCTGAATTTTTGCATTTTGTGTCTTTATAATATTTGGTAAGAACTGCCTTCCACACTTCCTTAACATGGCAATAGACAATTCCAGTCCAATGGCTGAAGAATGTGAGATGAGTAAGCTGGTTGACAAATCAAGATTATATTGTTTCTATGTTTTCCTAACATAGCAATACAGCAGCCAAACTGAGGTAAAATCTATGTCCATCAAAATGAATACCGCTAATGAATTCATTCAACCATTAAATATCCATCATCCAACCAGAATCAGAAATTGAATATTGGGTGCAAGTTGGACCACCTAAAGATTACTGAGCGCTAAAGTTTTGTTTTGCTTTGAATAATGGTGTAAAGTATCCATCAGCATTACAGCAATTGTTAACTGTTTTTTTTTTATTTTTTGTTGTTTCCAGTGAGTTTCAAAATATGCTTTGTACCTTTTTCAAAATACATTTTAAAAAAAGGGCAAAGAGATTCAGAAGAAACTTGGATGCTGTACGAAAAGCATAAATTTTAATAAATCTTAATGATGGTTATGTCCTTAGCAAATTATTGGAGAAAGGTCTAGAAGCAAGTAACAAAGATAAAAGAAACCATCAAAAGCTTCTCTCTCATAAGACATCACTAGAACAGCTTATAGATGTGATGAGTCGTCTTTTAGAGAGGTCAGATTCTGGTGTTTTAAACCAAACTATCCATTTGCATCCTCCAAAGTGTCAGAATTGTGGTTCAAATGAGCATACAGGCAGATCTTATGAGCATTTTTGGAACCAAGGAGATATTTTGATGATATGTTTGAAAACCTTGTTTATGATCAGTTATGAAGTTATTAAATGTTTTAACTTTTTATCTTCAAATATATGCTGCAAGATCAAATCAAAAAACTCTTTTCTTATAATTTTATTATACTCTTTCTTATAATTTTATTATACTAACATTTTTTTGAATCCGAATTTGACAGATTATTTGTTTTAAAGTACTAAACTTCTTGTCAATAAACAGTAGAAACCAGACCCCAAATTAATTAAATTTACTTTTCATTAAGTATATCTTTAATAATAATGGATTTTTTAAAAAGTATTTCTCTAATAAATTACTTTTTTTTTATCCAACACAGCTTGTCTTGCTTATTGTACAATTTTTTACGTGTTGACATCTTGAAAGTGAATAATTAATATTATCTATTAATTATATACTTTATTATTCATTTTTGTTTAACAACTTTATATAGAAAGAAACCAGATTTAACACAAGAAAAAATAATAATTTAATTCACAAATAATATATGAATGATCATTTTTACTAGAAAAAATTGAATAAGAATTCACTTTTTTTTCTAATTTTTAAAGTATAAAACAAAAACAAACAAAAAAAAAATAATTATGCAATCATTATTAAAATTAAATTTATATTAAAATAATTTGCAATCATTATTAAAATTAAATTCATATTAAAATAATTTTACCCATATCTACAAGATATGGGTAAAATTATTTTAATATGAATTTATTAATATATTTACAACTCTCTTTTAAACTTTTATAAAAACAAAACGACTGAAAAATGACTTGAATTTTTATTGACCTAATCTAATATAGATAATTCTCCTTCTTCTGGTGTTTTTATTTTAGTAGATATTTTTATCTGCCTTAATTTTATTCAAACTTTTTGGTAAGAGATTATGTGTGATTGGTTCGATCCATTTTTACTCTATTATTCAATTAGTCTAGTAAACATCTGTCTATACATTTTAAGAAAAATATATAAACAGAATAATACTTTATTCAATGAATCTGGTAAACATCTGTAAATTGGCCAAATATTATTAAATTATTGTAAAAATTATTCCCTAGTTAAGTGCAACTAAAGATTGACATAAGTTAACAAAAGCACATGATGGATGAAAATTTAAATCTACTGTTGCATGAGATTCTCCATCTTTAATAAATAAAAAATTAACTGGTATGAAGTTTTATAATTCCAGGAAATCTAAAAAATCTAATATCTGGTTGCTTTTGCTTTAGTTAGTAACAACCGAACACTCCAAAAAAACATTAAAAAAAATATAACACCAATTATATAATATAATTGATATTATATAAATATTTATATGCAATAAAACGCTCACCTTAAAAACTATTTAAAAATCTGAATGATGTATTTTTTATTATATTGGCTTTGTTTATATTTTTATCCTTTTATAATGGCAACGTTTCTGTTATTCAAGGAAGGTCTAGAATATTTAGGCCTGTTCAAGAGAATTGGGTAAAATTATAGAACATTTTGAAATTATAGAATATTCTGTAACAGAAAATTTTTAATGTTATAAAAAATGTTATAAAATATACTAGAATGTTTTGGAAGATAATGGAAGGTTCTGGAGATTTTTTGAAAACACTTCAACCTAGAAAAAAGTTTTTAAAAGTTCTAGAATATCCCAATCTATTTTAATATGAATTTATTAATATATTTACAACTCTCTTTTAAACTTTTATAAAAACAAAACGACTGAAAAATGACTTGAATTTTTATTGACCTAATCTAATATAGATAATTCTCCTTCTTCTGGTGTTTTTATTTTAGTAGATATTTTTATCTGCCTTAATTTTATTCAAACTTTTTGGTAAGAGATTATGTGTGATTGGTTCTAGAAGTTTTAGAAGGTTCCTATGGTGTGTATAAAGACATTGCGTATTTGCACATCAATTAGTCCAAAATGGGCGACAAATTGACTGCTCAAGAAATAGTAAAGCCACAATAAGTTAACACAACTAAAAAAAAAAAAAAAAAAAAAAAAAACAATTGGAGCTTTATACATTGAGTACATAAAAATGACTTCTTGGTCACCTAATTGAGAGATTTTCTGGAAACACTCTTCCATACAATCATGAATGCTATTTAAGACTTGCACATTCAAGATCATTTTCATTGATTTGACTTTTTTTCAACCTCCATTATTTTTTAATACAAGTTTTTTCAAAAATTAGTTTGAGTTCAAAAATATACATATATATATATATATATATATATATATATATATATATATATATATATATATATATATATATATATATATATTTTTTTTTTTTTTTTTGAACTGAAACACAAACTTATGGGGTGTTTATACTTATAAAATGTTTGTCATTTATGAAAAAAAAAGGCTTTAGTAAATTGATACATATTTCTAATTTTTGTGATCTCAAAAATGCCTCAGAAAAAATTGCAAAAGTTTTTGACAAAATAAACTTACTTTTACTGAGCCATAAAAAGGTCAGGAAATCATTAGCAGACTTCCTATTTTGGTTATGCTAATAAAAAAATTAAAAGAAACAAAACTTTAAAAATACAACATTTTATTCTTTTTTTTAAACATCTTTGATCCAAAAAGGCTGTAAGCAACCACTAATTAGAGTAAGAAGTTATTGGAAGAGAAAAGATGAAGATTGTAGAGCAAGATAATGATTGACAGACAAATTAAAAGATTGCAAATTATATGAATCAGGAAAACAAGATAAAAGAAGCGAACTCCAAAGAACTGATGTTCGAGGAAAAAACTAAAGGAATAAGAGTTTTTAGAGCATTTAAGAACAGTCACAAAGACTTAATCGAATGACAAGTAACACTTGTCATTCAATTATTTTGAATGAATTTTAGTAGATTGCAAAAGGAACGCTTGCTCTTTAGAGTAGTGTCCATTATATAGTATTTGTAGAAAAGAGAAAGGGAAGCAACATTACGATAATGTGATATATTGTGTATATATATATAATATATATATATATATATATATATATATATATATATATATATATATATATATATATATATATATATATACACAATCCATAGAGGTTGGACAACAACAATTTTTGATAAGTTTTACCATATTTTGTTAACATAAAAAAAATATTAAAAAAATAAATTATTGCGTGCCCTAGTCAAATCCTGAGTCGATTAGCAACACTTTTTGCATGTTTTTACCTATTTTAGTCTATGTACGCACAATCCACAGTCAATAAAACAAAAATATAAAAAAACAAAATAAAACAAGTAAAATTGAAAAAATAAAAACAGTATAAAATATTAGAAAAATAAAAACAAACAGTCTGCATTAAGGAAAGTCAATTAAGTTTTCATTTTTGTGATAATTTAAAAAAGGTTCTATTCGCAATTAATTTAATGGTTTTTGCTTTTAGAAAACAAAATAGTGTGGAACAAAAGTTACAGTAATTAAAATTGACCACACACACACACAATTGCATACTTAAATTTAAATGAAATGTCATTGTTGATGTTAGGCTGATATATAATGATATACTATTTATATATTATTAATTTCAAAAACTTTATATTTTCTTTTACAAACTTTTACACTTTTTCTTTCAACAAAACAAAACTTATGAACTGTGACTTAATAATTAAACTTGAAACATTAAAAAATATATATTTTTAAATTTAAAAAAAAAAGTATTACTTCTAACTTGCGCTTTATTTTTCCAAAGTCCATTGGTGTCTTAATTACACGATAATATCCAGGTGCTTCATTTGGATCAACTAAATACATAAATTATCGTTTTCATAACTTGCAGATAAATATGCAGGCGAAATTATGTAAATATTATTTAGTATGACATAAACCACTATTACCAAAGCACATTTTTAATAACACTGAAGTGCTTCTTTATAAAAAATGTCGTTATTGTTATATTTTATTTATCTGTGTCTGTGGTTCAAGTAACTAGCAGGTACTAACCACAGTCTTAACTAAATGATTCCTTGATTAAATGAAATCTTTTGTTAAAAAAATTGTTGCAGATATAATTTACAAATCAAAAAAGGAATTTTATAATATAACTTTATAATATAAATTTAAATAGAAAATCTGTAGAATGATCAATGTAGATATAAACATTAAAAAAAAACTATATTATATAAATTGAAATTGAAAGCAAAACTGAAAAAAAATTGAAATTTTTTTTGTAGTTTTATGTATTGAACAAAATGAAAAGCAATTCAATTCAAAGCAGTTATTGTTAACTCTGTGTGGCAATTTTAGTTGCCATACTTTTTAAAATCAGAACACAAAGAGGATAAAACAATTTTTAAGAATGGCTATATATATATATTTTTTTTCAAATTCAGTTCAAAAAACATAAAAGCTCAATATATTACGACGTAATTACACATGGAAATTAACCTAGTAGTTGTTCATAGAGATTAACTTGATGCTCTTGATTTCAATACTTTTTTTAGCATTCTTTATTCTGTATGCAGATTGAAATATTCTACAGGATACCTTGCTTTGCTTACTGATAAAATTCTGGTTGAATTGTAATGAGTGAATTGATGTAAATGAAATGATTTTAGGAATGAAAATAAAATGAAGCAATAAATCTTGATTCTTTTTACTGCATATGCTGATGGGCTAAATGGATGCAGCTTAACGCATCTGGCAAAACTATTTTCTTTTTATTTGAAAAGGGTCGGTTTACAATACCAGCAATAACATTTTTTAAAAATCTATCATCAAATGTTATTTTCGGCATTTTAAACATAGCATGTAAAATTTATTCAAGATTTTCGCTTCTACAGTTCTTTCAATTCTTGGTTCAATTAAGTTTAACCAAAGTAAAACAAAAGAAATATAAGATTTAAAATAAATTTAACAATAAATAATAAATTTACAAAATGATTATATAAATTAACTTTTTTTTTTCCTGTGGATTTAGGTTGGTGATGTATATACTTGACTTTAATTTTTAAAATGGTAACCTAATTTTAATAATGAATATATGGTAAAGTATATAAAAAAAGATTATTCCATTGTAAATGTAATACATTTTTATAAAGTGCTTAAATCCTCATTATCATCTTGCTATTTATAATATGTCCAGTACAATCTACCTCATGTCTTGCTTTTCAAGAAAAAGACTAGGAGAAGTTAAATTTGACTTAAAATACCCTCTGCCTTGGGGCTCTTTGTTAATCAAAGACTAGAGATGATGTCCCAATAAAACTTTCTCCTGGGCAGGTGTTAACTGTGTACAGCTACTGTATAGTAAAAGGCCTCCTGGGCAAAGACCTTCAAGAGCAAGCAGAAAATCAATGTTGACCAGTCTCCTCTACTTTATCTAATAGGTTGGTGTAGATGCAAATGTGTATTTCCGGCTGAAAAACGTTGAATATTCTTGACTCTACTCATTGGTTGTTGTTTACGCCTCATTAATAGCGTCTTTGTAGCTAAACGTCTAAAGTTTATTGGTTCTAAAGATAAGTTGTAATAAGGTTTCTTAAACACTGTTTTATATCAAAAATAGGCTGATTCTATCAACAGCTGTAAAATAACAGAGCATTATCAATGCTATGTTTTGCATGGAAGATGCCCCTGTTAGTGCTTTAGGTGTGCATTGCTGAAACACAAGTAGAGCCCTATTTTAGCATTTTGTTTGATTAGCAGAAATAAGATACCTGCATAGTCTTGTTGCTTAGAGTGCCATACTCTGTATATAATTATGTCAAGTTTTCAATTAATTAAAAAAATAAACACCTAAAATATATAATAAAATAAACCCCGTCATTACCAACAAATTGTTTAATTTACAAATTTACAAACCTTTACAAATATTTTGAGTCTTCAAAGTAACTTTGAATATTTCAAAAATTTTATCAGATCTAGATATTCTTAGTGAGACTATTTAATTTAATTTGGCTCTTTTATCTTTTGATTCATAAAGACTCCAAAACTCACATGCTTAACTTCGGCATACAGTTTTGTTTCAACTCACCTATTTGTCATGAAATCAGATTAGAGTCCTATGAATATTTTCATGTGCTTTTACTTTGCGCCTCTTCACTCAACCACTTTTCTACTTTTTTTTTTTAACAATTCTTTTTCTTCTCGAGATTGTAACTAACTATGAATGCGTGTTTAGATAACATGTTTGACATTGCACTAAAATAGCCTGCAGCCGGGGGCTTCGGTACATATATAAACTATTTTATAGACCTCAAAGTGTTTGAAGTTGACAAAAAATTGCTGACTTTGTTTCCATGTTTTATGGTAACCCCTTTGTGTCAAGTTATTTTTGCTGATCTGATGCCAACCTCTAACAGTTTGAGGTCGGCAATTTATTGCTGACCTTATTTTTTTCTGATTCTGAGGATTGTATGTTGAAAACATATAACCATGTACACAAATACACACACAATTTTATTCCTTGTCAGTTTCAAGTCAACTGTACTCACCTTTTTGAACAGCCATTAATCCTTTTTTTGTGGCACCAATTTTTAAAAACTCTGGAGAACACTCTGATTCCTCAAACTATTTCCCAATCAGTCGTCTACTATTAGTGAGGCCTTTGATTCTTTAATTAACAAATGACCATATTATTATCACACTATTGCAAAGGATCAATTATATGATTAAAATTATCATGTAAAATTTCAGTTTTCAAATTTTTAATTTTGAAAAAAATCATGACTGTGTATAAAATATTTAACAAATATTTCTTCTTTTGTTTGCAAATATTCATAACTTTAGTATAGTTTATTATTATAAATAAATTCAAAATTTTGATTAAATAATTTAATTGAAAAGCAATACAGCGATTAGCTGAACCAGATGATAGATATAAAACCATATTATGATAATTATAAACCATATTATAGATGATAGATATAAAACAATGTTATATACTAATATTTTATTAATGCAGATAACTTAATACCAAATATTAATACGAAACTTAATACGAAAATATTAAATACTTTAAATATTATTTACTTTAACATACTTTAAACAAAAAAAATACTAAAATAATAACCTAATACAAAATATTAATATGAAAAACTTAATACGAAATATTTGTGAGAATTGAAAAATTAGGAATAAATATATCATAATTTAATTTTTTTTGTATAATAAAAAATTTAAATTTAAATGATTTAAATTTAAATTTAAAATGAATTTAAATTTTTATATTTTAAAAAACTGCTCAAAAAAATTGTGAATTTAAAAAATATTATTAATGATGCTTATGGACATGTTAGAAGTAATGTTAATAGAATATAGAAGTCTTTTTAATAGAAGTAAAACAAAATCTTCTAAAAATTTTAAAAAAGAAAAATACATTTAGCTATAAACATGTAAACAAACAAATATCTATATGCATAAAAAATGAGTTTTTATGTAAAAAATCAAACCTGGTTTTGTAAACCACGATGCTGCATTCATCTCACCTTTCTGTTTTGCAGGTCCACGAAACCTACTAACACGCTGTAGCAAACTAATGATAAAAACACTGTTGATTATAATTATTTAAAATTTTAAAAAAATGAATAAAATTTTTTTAAAAAACTCCTTACTTTGCGGCACCTCTTATCCAGCTGGCTTGTGTTCGTGCTGGAACAAGAGAGGAAAGATCTGATTCTTGAGAAGGTGTTTTCCTTTTTTTTATTTCAGAAGGCTCTTTATTACTATATGATAAAATTTTAGAAGTAGCCATTATTTTAGAAGTAGCCATTATAGGCAAATTCGGCAGTAGTTGTGATAAATGAGGTAAAACTATAGAATCTTTTTCACTGCAAGCGAGCTTTTTAAGTGTTGATCCAATATCAAAGCTATTGCTTAGGGGAACTGTTTGTGTTGAATAAGTTTCTTTTGAAGAAGTTTTTGGAAAATTTAAACTATTTATCGATATTAAATTGTTATGCAAACTGTTTGTAAATACTGTTGATTGTTTAATTGGTGATTCAAGCACTGACATATGCAATGAATTATTTGCTCTTTGATTAAAGTCTGTTACTGAAATACCATTACTGTAGGAGTTGTGTAAGTCTATTTTGTCTAAACATGTTACAGGAACTTCTGAAATACTTAAGTCAATAGATTTACTAATATGAGATTTAAAACCTGCAAAGCTCTCAGCATTAATTGCTTTTAGAGAATTAGCAGTATCACAATAAGAACCTGAAAACATATTACTAAACTGTGATGTATTATTTACAAGTGTATTAGAGATAGAAGTCATACTATTTTCAATTATATTAGAAAGTTTAGAAATAACAACAGAAACATTTTTATTTTCATTGGTTAAAACATCTTTTGAATTAGAATCACATTGATCATTTGAACTGGTAAACAAAAATCCATTTTTAGATATACCTGGCGAGGTATTAATCATTTTTGCAGACAACTGTTCTAAAAACTTTTCACCAGCATTTAATAAAGCCATATCATCTGTATCTGCTGATGCAGAAGCAGTTATTTGTTCTGTTTCTATATCTGGTGAGCATAACTTACTAACACTATTATCAGAAGAGTATAATTTATGGAGAACTTTCATGGAATCGATTGTGGCAATATCAAGGTGATTTGTGGGTGAGAGAAATTTTTTTACTTCAGGGGATTTTAACTGAATATTTCTAAGCTGATTATGTTGCAATGAAACTGAACTCATTAAGTTGTTTCCTAAATTAGTTCCTGGTAACAAAGTCGTGCTTTTAGTCAAATTTACATTTGAAAACTGTGCTCTATTATTTTTTGAAACAGCTGTAAATAATTTTAAACTTTGTGCATGCCTAACTAAAGTAGTTTTTAAACTTCCCAATCCCTTGGGAGAGACTTGAAGTGTTTTTCCGAGAAAAGAAGTAGGTGATGTAATATTATTTGGAGTTATGGAAGATATTTGAGTAGATTTACCATGATAAGATATTGTAGAAGGATTTGTAGAACAAGCAACAACTGACTGAATGTTAGATGCAGCAGAACTAGGTATTCGCTTTAAACATTGTGTAGATATGTTAGTTGTTATAGAAGCGCCAGTTGTTGGGGTAAGTGATTTTGAAAGTGACATTATTGGAGTCGCTATATAAACAGTTTTTACCTGAGTTGTACCTTGAACAACAGTTGTTACAGCAATCATTTTAAACCCTGTAGTAAGAGGCATTGATTTTGATGGCAATGCACCTTTTGGCAACGCAGACATTACAGATGATGGTAACTGTGATGCAGACACAGCTTTCATTTGCTGTGATAAACTTGTGGCAATACTGTTAAATGTAACAGCGCTTTGTATTGGATTTTTATTTTCAGACATCGCAGATCTATTAATACTTGATAAAATAGGACTACTGTTTGTTTTAGCAAGTTGAACAACTTTGACAGACATACTTGGACTAAGAGAGGTTGAAAGTTGAGGTGAACTTCCTGAGACATTAGTTTCGTTTAGTTGGCTAATGGAAGGAGCAACTCGTTGTATCGTTGTCATAGGCTTATACTTTGCAGGCTTTAATTTAAATTTAGATAACGGTGTTTTAAATTTTATCTTTTGAGGAAAACAGTTTGTGAGATAACTTGAAGAAGAAAGAGAAGTAATATGATTATTATTGATTGTCTCAGAGGTAGTAACCATTTTTACTGATGTTAAGTTACATGGTTGCAAATTTATTGATGTTTCTAAATTAGTACTAGTACTTAGTGAAACTACAGTCGAAACAGGTGATAAAGTAGCACTTGTTTGAATTTTTATTGGACTTTCCTTGTGCTGTGTGGGGGATTGTTTTACAGGTGAAATAGAAGTACTCGTAATTGTATTTGATAACATAAAGGGCGACGGCATAACTGATTTATTTTTTATAATAGATTTCATTGATACGGATGTACTTTGATTCGAAGGTTTCAGAGAACTTGCAATTGATTTGTTGAGCATTAAAGGAGGAGTTTTTACATTCAGCAAATTTTTTCTTTTTTTTTCTAAATCATCAGCAGGTGCAGGAGAAACTGTAAATATATATGTATGTATGCATGTATATATAATATATATATATATATATATATATATATATATATATATAAAATAAAGTATTATATATATATATATATATATATATATATATATATATATATATATATATATATATATATATATATATATCAGCAGTGTACACTGGAATTTTAGATGTTTGAGTTTTGTCACTTACAGGCAATGTGCAAACTCCAAACTTTTGTATGTTCATGCTTATGTCAAATGAGAATGTTTTGCAAAGAGTTGTGGTGATTGGAGCTTGAGGATAAAAAAACCCCAATTTTTGGGCCCACCCGTCACAAGAATTTTTGTGTTTAAAAAAAAAAAAAAGAATTTCCGCATAAAAAGTATAAAAATTCACTAACTTTAAATTAATAGTATTTTTTCTATAAACGCTTTAATCTTGGAATTAAAAAAATATAAAAGAACTATTTTTCTTCGTTAAATAAATATTTACATGAAACGAAATAAAAATAAACATTGTTAAAATATCTTAAATGAACTCGGATCACTTTTCTATTTTTTGCATATTTTACGGAAAAGCTGTCTTGGGCCAATCAAGATTTGATATTCTAAGCTACATGCTTAATGATTGAAATTTTACATAATTATAAACAAATGTCTATTTTCTCAGATTTTTGGATGGCATAGATAAAAAAAATAGTTTTAGTTTTTTTAGCATTATTTTTGTTTTTACTTGTTTTATATGAAAAACATTCAATTTTTGTTATGCTCTCCAAATTATTGAAATTTCAACCCTCTATGCACATGAAAATCAAAATAATTACTTTCTGTACTTCTAACTAAAACGTATTCAACCTTGGCAAATTTTGTTGCTTTTAGCAAAAATTTGTAGTTACATACATAAAATTTTTGTTTATGTTTTCAAGCAATGACTTAATTTTAAATGCGTTACTTCCAAATTCACTATGTAATTAAATTTATTAAAACAGCATTTTTAGTGAGACAAATTTTAGTGTATAAATAAAAAAAAACTTTAGCGGTTTTTTTTCTCTCGTGGCTAATCTACAAACATCAGATAAGTTGTAATTAATCCTCTGATATCTATTGCATACTTGTTATTTGTCAATAATTATTATTTGATTTTATTTGTTTGTATTATATTTGTATTAAGAAGTTTATTTATCACTATGCATTCTAGTGAAAGGGAGATACTAATACTATACATTGGATGCTTAAAAGCTTAAGCTTTAAATTTTTAGGCATTAAGCTTTAGCTTTAAATTTTTTAACATTTAAGTAAGATTTTTTTGTTTTTATAATAGTCCAACAATGTGTACATTTAATAATAAATATCGAAAATATATTCTTTCTGAGTTTTTTTTTATAAAAAGTAACATCAAATTACTAATATTTAGCCAAGTTCAACATTTGCCGCGTTTATACTAAAATTAAAGAAGTTTTTTAATATATCTGTGAAACGTCATCAAAAAAAAAATTTTGTTGGTGTTTTTATTCTTTTTACAGAGCAAAATTATCTCTAATGTTTCAAAAGTTATAAAAGTTTTAGTAACATCCCTTACGTAAATATTTTCAAAAAATAACAAGAAACCGTAAAGCTCGCTTCAAAAATTAACTTCATAACCATGTTCGTAACATTAATCTTTTGTAATTAATGTTTTTACATTAGCAAAACAACTTTAAACAAATCAATATTTACTTTTATTGATTGTTTATAAAAAGAAAATTAAAGGGATCCCTAAGTGCTCCTAACATATAATCTCATATGAAAGAGCATAAAAAAAAAAATATGTAAGTTTTTTTTCTTTTTCACTAAATTGTAATAATAAATGCATGCTAACAAAAAGCAATTGCCGAAATCACTAAAAAACAACTCCATTTTGATTTTATTTTTTCATCATTAAAACTCGATTGTTAGTCGTTAAAAATCACGTTAGTACGTCACAACAACTTTAGCATATCTACTTCGATTTTCAAGTAAAAAAAAGTCATGATTAAATAGTTAAGTTTTAATCAAGTTTTTTTAATTAGTTTTGCAAAAACAGTATAATAGCATTCGGTTGAAAGACGTCGTTAAAAAAAAAGTTATAAGTAATAGTTTTAAATAGTTTAGAACTTATAAAAAAGTCTTACAGGGCTCTTAAGCATAGGGCTATTAAGTGTATTGCGATCGCAATTGCTACACACACTTTTGTGATTAGTTTTTTCTTAAAAAAATCTTTTTGCGACTCGTTTTTTTTTTGGTTGATTAATTACTTATTTTCTAGCTTAGCATTTTTTTTAGCAATTCTTAAAAGTAATGTTTTTATCATAAAGAACGTCACACAGAATTTATTATTCTGAATAGATAGATGAATAGATGATTTGCTCATTCGCGCGGAGATTTTTTTTTAACGTAAAACATTTTTGAATTTAAATTACTTTAAATCTCTGCGTGGAAAATTTTGACAAGGTTGTTAAAGCGAAAAGTTGAAAGGTTGGTTTTTATCTTTGTTTATCAAAACTTCATGTTTAAAATAAGGTTTAAAAACGTTAGAGCAAAAAAATTACTGACTTTTATTTGCATTTTTATACTGTTTGAAAAAAAAAAACTAATAAAAAAGAAATAATATATAATTTTTTATTAGTTTTTTTTTTCAAACAGTATAAAAATGCTAAAACCAGCAATTTTTTTACTATAACGTTTTTAAGCCTTATTTTAAACATAAAGTATAATTCGATTTATTAAACCAAATTTTTTTGTTTTATCTTTTATCGGAAAACTTGAAATAGAAAAATTAAATAAAAACATCAACTATTTAAATGAAAAACTTAATTAAATTTAAACTTTTATTAATCCTTTATTCAAGAAACAATAAATATAAAAAACGTGATATCTAATTTTTTATTAAGTTTTTGACAATGTTTTTTGATTTATTGACGATAATTTTTTCCCCCCATTACCGCACATCGGCGCGAACTATGAGAGAGAGGGGGGAGGAATTCGACCTCTCTCTTAGTTTAATGTCTATTCAACCTTATCAATTTGAACCAAAAAAATATAGCAATTTAACATAAATGTTAATTTAACTAAAACATTTTACAATCATTATTTTTTTTATCAAGCAAAAATGAGAGTAACCGTCACTTTTGAAACCATAAAAATTACTGAAATAAATTTATTTTTTTACTAAGGCAATATTTTAAATAAACTTTCATGTCTAAGTCAATATTCATTTGTTTTTAACTGACTAAAAAGAGTTTAAAATGTGACTTCTATTCATTTTTAGCCGTGGAAATGCCCTTATAACACAAATATATAAATTAATATTATAAAAAAATTTTTATATACAAATATATTTTCACAAAATGCTACAAAACTTATTCTTGTAAGTAATTATGTGTTAGTTGAAAAAAAACGACTTTACTTTTAAATTTAATTACCAACTAATAAGTTTGCAATAATGACATTTTGTCTACTTTGTTTAATTTGACGTACTAACGTTAGTTTTTTGAGGCAATAGAGTCAATAAACTTTGGACAAGACGCATTTTTTTTAATCGAAGAAAAGCGTTTTTTTGAAAATTAAATTTGTTAGTGTGTGTTCATTATTACGTTTTAGAAAAAATAATATACATCAAACATTTTTTTTTTAATGCTCTTTCATATGAGATCATATCTTTATAGCACTTAGGGATCCCTTTAAAAAAAAAGATATTTAATTATATAAAGTTGAGTAAGTTTTATTAAAAGTTTACAGTATAATAAACAAATGGATTTAAGTAAAATATAAAATTATAAAATATACTTTTAGCCTGCAGTTTGGATACTAATTATTATAGACTGCTGATTCAGGGATATGGCGCATTGCAGAATTTTTTAAAAACATTTCATAGACTCTGCTAAAAAGAGATCATTATAATATTTCTATAGTAATGTGATAATTTAATTACTTCTTTTGTTTACCTTACTTAAGAAGAATTGTTTTAAATATTATAAACTTTGCAAACTACGCAAAATATGAAATGGTTATAAAAAAATATTTACTTTTTTATTTACTATATAATACAACTAGCATTAATTTTATTAGAATTTTGTGGAAATAAAACATAAAAATGCAAATAAATAATTATTTTTTTGATAAATTGAAGAACCTTTGTTTCTGTTAAATGATCATTATAGTAAGTTGCTACTGTATATATTATTATAGATTGCTACTTATAAGAGGGTCATTTAACTTAATAAAAAAATTAAAAAAAAAAGAAAAGTTTAGAATTATTAAATCTGAGCGCCATTTATATTTTTTAAATTAGATTTTTTTTTCATTTAGGATTCATTTCTTTTTTTAGTAATTTTTTGGTAATTGCCTCCTGTCAGTAAATTTTTTTTTTGTTGCGCATTTTTGAAATCTTCTCAAAACATCTAGTAAGCCATGGCCAAGTTGTTGCAACTAAATATTATATGAGTGATCAAATACATTTTAGAATCACACCCACTTCCTGAACAAGCTAAAGTTATGCATTTTGGCAAGTATAACCTTAAATTTAGTTACAATATACAGCCCTCAGAATTGAGGTTGGTATTTGGCAATGCCGACCTAAAAGTGTTTGAGGTCATATCAAAAAATCGTCGAACTTGTTTCCATGTTTTATGGTAACCCCTTAGTGTCAAATATTTTTGCCTAACTGATGCCAACCTTCAACAGTTCGAGGTAAAACAAGGCTGGCAATTTATTGCCGACCTTGTTTTTCCTAATTCTGAGGGCTGAATATATCATACTGAACAAATGGGAATATTTATACCTTAACATCAACAGACTCTAAAATGACATTTGTGTGACAATTACTTCCATTCTCAAGTGGCACAAGCATGAAATAAAATGTGCTTAAATATCTAAAAGTATCTTCGGATGAATAAAAAAGTTTAGAATTATTAAATCTGATGGGATATTATTCTCTGCAAAAATTTATACACAACATTTGACTACATACTTATGTTCTACCTTATGTTTTACTCTTTTGGAATTTATTAAATTTATCAAAAAAAAACTATTTATTGAGATATTAATAAAAAACATTTGTTGTTTTGCCATTATACTTCTAGTTGAGAGTTAAATATATAGAGGTTAAAATATATATATATAAAAAACTAACTAAAACAAAATACAACAAACTAAACGCTTAGTTTATTTAAATCATGTTTTTAATAACGTTCTGAATAATTTTTTTTATCTTAATGTTTATAAAATATTATCAGAAACCCTTAAAATAAAAAGAGCAAACAAACTTAATAAATTGTAACGACTTTTAAAAACTTTTTTTTTTTACCTTTTTTAAATGTATTAACTTTAATGATTCTTATATGAAAACTCGTTAAAAAGACTTTCGTTGCCTTTATAAAAATCATCATTTATAAAAACACAATTACTTTTTTTTTTAAACCTTTATTATAAAAAATGCATACTTAATTTATATATTGAAATATATTAAAATTATATATTAAAATATATTATAAATTAAAAAATTATATACAACTGTTTATGATTCTTTAAAAAAAATTATTATTAGTAAATTGTTACTTTATATAAAAGCATTTAAAATATACATTAATTAAACCAGTACCTTTTTTTTAAAAAAAGCAAATTAATCAGACCAGTACCTTTTTTTTTAAAAAAAAAGCACATTAATCAGACCAGTATCTTTTTTTAAAAAAGCACATTAATCAGGCCATTATCTTTTTTTAAAAAAAGCACATTAATCAGACCTTAATTTTAAAAAAAAAGTTAAAGGGCTGGAATTTATTGTTAATATCTTGGTAAATAATTTGTTTCGGAAAGTTAAATTAACTAGAAACCTATTTTTTAAGGAATATTTAAGATATAAACACAACTTGTCTTGGCACTTGAGAATCCCTTTAAAAATAATTAGGATAATAAATAATTATTTCGTTTGGGTTTTATGATGAAATTTTATATTATAATATCAAGATCAATATATAAATATTTTTTTATTAAATAACAATTATTGAATTTGATAAAAAGAGAGTTTAGGGTTTTGAAAAAACTAAAACTTTAACAAATACTAGTGTTTCCAGTAGTATGTATGTATGTATGCAGTGCATGTGATGAATAAAATTTCCCAGCACGATACTTCATGCTTGTAATACTGAAATACGTTATCAAGGAGCACGATTATGGGCACTTGGCATCAAGTCTTCGAGAGTGATATTTAGAGTTGGATATTGGTTGCCATGTGGCCATCCGTAAATTACGTACATAAGTATGCTATAATATGATAAAGTTCACTTGGAACTTTAAAAAAAAAAACACACGCTGGATTTAGCTTTTAAATAGAAGAAATAAATCATTTTTAATTTGAACTTATATCACAAAAATTAAATCTAAAATATGTCACACATAAATTAATACATAATGTACTTTATTACGAATATAACTTCTTTATTTAACAATATGCAAACTCTACTATTTAAACATTTTAACTTCAGCAAAAAATTTTGAATAAAAATATTTTCTATAAAATCAACTTATAATTTTCTCCCTTAAGTTCTTCAGACAAACGCAATTTTTTACTCTCGAAAAAACTAGCAAGTGCTATTTGTTGTGCCTGGAAGGTCGTTTACAGGCTTGTAACGCTCCCATTTCATCACAAGGCCTGATATGTATGTATGTATGTATGTATGTATGTATGTATGTATGCATGTATGTATGCAGCCCTAGGAATTAGGAAAAATGAGGTTGGCAATAACTTGCCAACCTTAATCTTTTTGAGGTTAGCATCAGGTTGGTAAAAACTATTTGATATAAAAGTCTAACCATAAAACATAAAAACAAATAATTTTTGCCAACCTGAAAGTGTTTGAGGTCGGAAAAAAATTGCTGACCTCAAACACTTTCAGGTCAGCAATTAGGTCGGCATTGCCGAATGCCGACCCGAATTCTGAAGGTTGATGTATGTATGCATGTACGTAATTATTTTAAAAAAATAATTTAAAAAATTCATTAAAACAGCCAAAAGTATTTTGAATTTCTATTCCATTTATTTTCTTAATTTTTAATAATATTAACCCATTAAAAAAAAAAACATGCACTTGAAAGTGATGATACATCATAATTTTCAATTTTTATTCTATTGTCAATGAATAATTTTTTAAATCTATTAAAATTACCTTTTTGATCCGTAGCTTGAGTACCCTTTGGTGTTAGCCCTTTAGGTTTAGAAACTAAAGGATGTAATTCGATTTCTAGAAAATAAATATATGAATTTTTTGGGTGTGTGAATAAGCGCATATATATATATATATATATATATATATATATATATATATATATATATATATATATATATATATATATATATATATATATATATATATATTATATATATATATATATATATAGGAGCAATAAAAAAAAAATATTTTCTCAGTTAGTGATGTGAATTATCAAATAACAGGCGCAAAGTTGCCATCTTACTGTCAAGCTCTTGCAGTACTTTTTTTAGCATTTGCAAAGTTAAATTGACTGCTAGTGAAAGCGCAAACCTCGTCATTCAAGAGTATATTGTATTTTGCAAATACCTAACTGTGTAAAAAACTTGTAAATCTTTAACATGTTGGGAAAGAGTGGCAAAAAAATTTCGAAAAAATTTCAAAAAAAAAAGATATTTACAAGCACTGCGAGGAGGACTTTTAAAACAATTTATTTGATATAGAACATGCTGATGCTTTGGAATGGATAAAAAGAGAACCAGGGCATCAAGGATTTTTAGCTTCTTTTTTAGCTAACTTTTTGTAGACGAAAATTAGCCATAAAAAAAAAAAGAAAAGGCAGGGCAGAGAAAATTAAAAGAAAAAAAAAGACATTTGCAAGTGTGCTTCAGGAGTTTATCGTCATCTCTTACTACACAAGCGTTTATACAAATGCAAAAACATTAGAATCAACACACCAGTACAGATAAAAGCCTCGAGGAACCCTTACCACTAATCTTTCAAATGGTAAGTTCTAAAACTACAACAAAAATAAGGAGGGAAAAACTTTATCACATTTTAAGCATTTTATCACATTCAAGGGATTTTATCATATTCATTATATATAGATTTTATCATGTATCATTTATCACATTCAAGGGATTCTGTCTATATACTTCAGGCTGTAGTAGAAGTACTGAGCTGTGTTGATTTCTTGATAAACAAATTGTCCATTTAATGCATTTGTAAACAAAATGGAAAAGAGAGAGCAGAGTTTATAAACTTGACCGTTCAATGGGATGGGAATTTATTACCTGGAATGGACAGAAGTTCTAAACAAATAAGTCTGGCAATTCTAACTTCACTTGGAGAAAAAGACCAACTGCTGGCTGTACCCAAACTGGAGAGCTCTTCCAGCTAAGATCAAGCTGAAGCTGTGTTAAACGCACTTTATGACTGGAACCTTGATAACAAAGTACCAATAATATGCTGTGACACAACAGTGTCTAATACAGAGCCATTAAAAGGAGCTTGTGTGCTTTTGGAACAAATACTAGACAGAGAATTACTACTTTTTGATTTTGGCCATTACGTTTAGGTACTGGTTTTAAAATGTGAGTTTGAAACAAAAATCCACCAAATCAAAAGTAGCCTTGATACCCAAATTTTCAAAAAGTTTAGAGACAAATGGAAAATTATTTATCTGGCTGATATTGAAACATACACTGATATTGTCAAACAACATTTTATAAATATATTTGAAGAATTGTTCTTCACATACAATAGTTTAATGAAAAAAACAATTGTATCTGATGATTATCGGGAACTGATTGAACTATGTGCTATTTTCTTAAGAGATAATAATAAGAAACAATTAAAACCAGACCTCTAGTAGCAATGTATCAAGCAAGGTGGATGGCTAAAGATATTTACTTTTTAAAGAAGTGTTTGTTGCAATCCCAGATCAAAATTAGCATCGAGGATAAACGAGCATTTTGACTTAGTGCCTGTCAAGCGCACTAATTTATTTTCTCGATTAAAAATTAATGAAAATTTCCTCCAGAGGCCCGTTTCAACGTGGAATAAAGATTCTATTTATATAGAGACAAAAAGAAAAATTCTTTCCTTAAGTGGAGTTAATGATGCAGCTAAAAGACCAATTTTCAAAATCTTTAGAGTTCAGACGGCTTGCGTTAATGTTGTCATACAAAGATAAAATTTTGTATTTAAGTAAGTCTAGATAGTTTAAAAAGAAATAGGAGGTATGCATTTCAAAATCAAAAAAAACAAACAAACTAAAAATCAAAAAAAAAAAAAAAAAAATTTGCTTAAATAAGGGACACCCTTATTATATATATATATATATATATATATATATATATATATATATATATATATATATATATATATATATATATATATATATATATATATATATATATATATATATATATATATATAATATATATATATATAATATATATATATATAATATATATATATATAATATATATATATATATATATATTATATATATATATATATATATATATTATATATATATATATATATATATATATATATATATATATATATATATATATATATATATATATATATATATATATATATATATATATAAACACACACACACACACAAACACACACACACACATATATATTAATATATACATTAGGGGTATAATATTTTTACAAACTCAATGAGCATGTCATATTCTGATGAGCTTTTGTAAATAATTAAGAGAATTTAGTTTCATGTTTCTATTTAAAAAAATCACGCACTGACTCAATAGAAACGGGAGCTAAAAGCTGTTAATCACATAACACTTAAATAAATATTGATAAAATTAACAAAACATCAAAATGTTTAAAAACTATATTAATAAAACTACATTAACTAAAAAGTTTTGCATTTGTTTAATTAAATTTTTGATTTGTTAATACAAATTTTCAAATAAAAAGTTTCTTCAGATTTGATCATCATCTTTTAAAGCTTTTACTGCTCGTTTGGCACAAATATATCTTTGTGTATGGGATCAGTGCAGAGACTTCCGCAATGGCGGACGCCTTTTTATAACGATTTTATAATTAAATTAAAGAAAAAAAAATATATATATATATATATATATATATAAATATAGAGTGAAGAAAAGAAAGAAAAAGTTATAAAATAAGAAATATAAATATAAAGAGAGCGAAGAAAAGAAAAAGAAGGAAATGAAAAAGCAAAAAACAAACAAACAAAAAAAAAAAATCAAACAAACTAACAAATAAAAATAATAATAATAATAAAAAATAACATAAAAAGAAACGAGAAAAGAAAAAGAAAAGACAAAAATCCAAAGTTAAAAGAAAAAAACATTGGATAATGAAAAGTAATTAAAAGCAATTAAAATAAAATATAAAAATTTCTCTGTTTTTGAAGAAACGTAAAAGAATATTTTTTAAATTTTATTAATTTTGAGGGACGTTTGTCTTTTTTGTTGTTATTGTTTTTTGTTTTTGTATTTCTGTGTATTGTTAATTGAGCATTGTAGAGTATAATTCATTTTGTAAAATAATTTAGTGCGTTGTTTGCATTGTCTGTTTTTTAATTTAAATGTTTTTGATTTTATGTTAGTTAGTTGGTTAGTTTTTGATTTTATGTTAGTTATGCATGTGTAATTATACATAGATATTTGAGTGCATATACGCGCGTGTATCTATGCATGTGGGTAAGTATGTGTATATATCTTTATACTTGTGTTTGTATGTGCATGTAACAATATTAAACTTTCTAAATTTTTTTACATACTTTTTTATTTTTCTTTATTTTATCTTTAATTTTTATCATGTTTTTTGTTATAGTTTTATTTCTTTTAGTTTTAAATATTTATTGTAGCCATAATTATTACTATTTTTAACTTTACTATTATTATTCATATTTTATTATTTTCAATTTAAATAAATGTTTTATGTTCTTGTTACTTGTTACATTTTATCAGTGAATTGTTGGTAACTAACTTGTATGTATATTTAGCTACTGTGGTTATAAAAACAAGTGACTTATTATTTGATTATTTTTTAAATTTAATTAATATTATAATTGTTATTGTTGTTGCTTTTTTTATTATTGTGGTTCTTATGTTTATTATTATAATTATTATTCTTATAATTATTACTAATAATATATATAAAGATCTATATTTTTAATGTTTACTTGATATTAGTAAAATTACTGTTTATAAATATCTATGAAATTATTTTTCAGAATATATATATGATATTATAGGCGAAGGAATATCACCAAAACTTTGTGAACGTATTGATAGCATTTGGATGATCTTTAATGGCTTCCTCCAATTCTTTACCATTTTCAGGGTTAAGCATTTGTTATGATAACCAGATATCTGCCTATTTTCCAGCAACAAGCTTATTTGCCATTTCAAGTCATTGTTTGTCTGAAGGAATTATTGTGTAAGCAAGTAGTAAATAAATTGCCCGGGAGTTCCATCTAAATTTGCTAAGATTTGGTAAACTTTTAAAATTAACCTTAAGAAATTTCTTTTCATTCCGAAGGCATTGTGTGTCATCTATCCATTTCAGTTCATTCTCTTTCAATTGTATAACACTATTGTCAAAGTTCAATGTTAAATAGTCATATTTACAATGTATAGCTTCAACAAAATATGAAAATTCAATTGAATTAGTATAATCTTTAAAAAAGTCGTCCAGACACAACTTTAATAATTGATCTAATATTTGGTGTTAACAACCACCATAGAGAGGTTTATGAAAGCCAACACTTTCAAAATGTGTCATTAATCTCTTTATCGCGCACTCGTTTTTCCCGTGTAAACATTTGTAGTGTCTGTCGTTTTTATAGATCCCCATAAAACACTTTCATTCAAAAGTTCTCAAAGTCCTTCAAAAATTGCCTCTGAATTTTCATTCTTCAATACCGTTGGCTTTAGTCTAACCCCTTTTTTATTGTTCTTGATGTTAACTACTTGATGAACTACTTGATGTTACACCCCAGCCATCTATTTCCCATCAAAATGCAAAACCAAACCTTGACCTTCAGCTCTTTTCTCAATTTAATTTTTAACTTTTTACCTTCTCTGATGACTGCCATATAGATCGATGGTTGAGTTGGTGTAGGATGATTGACACCAGTCATCTGATGTTGTTGAAACAGTGGCAGCTTTTCGTGTACTTTTATGTTTGCTTGACAAATCAATTTAACAACCTTGACTGATTAATTTTTTGTTTAA